GTCCAGGTACTTGTCCACGCTCTCCGCAACCTCTTTCGAGGTGTCGAGGTCAATCGTATATACACCCATCCCAGAACTGAGGGAGCGACGGAGCTGAGGTGACTGTCGGCTTGTGAAAACCCACTTCACAGGTCGACGAAACGAGGCTTTCCTGACAAAATTGAGGAAGGTCTGGACTTCTCGCTCTTCACGGCACTCATCTAGTGCGTCAACGACCAGATAAATGGATCCAAGGCTGGCCGAATAGGAGAGCATCCTCGCTAGGATTCCCCACAGGGCATCAATTCCAGTGCCATTAATGTCGTCGGGAGATTTGAAATTGTCACTCAAGAACTGCATGAGGGCCCTATCCTCCTGGCCAAGTCCGTATATGAGGCCCTTTAGTATGGAGATCGCGGTGTTCATGGTGCTATCCATGTCTCGGCAGAAGAAATAACCGACGAAAACTTTGCCACCGTCCGGCTATGTCGCGTGCGTGAGCTCATCGATGAGGCCCAGTGACATGACGGTCTTCCCCTTCCCTGGTCCGCCTACCACCCAGAGGATACTGGAGTCTTCCGTCTTTTGCCATGCCGTGAACTCGGGCCTGGCGAGGATCCGATCCCAGCACGACTTGATTGGTTTGTCGCCAGCCGAGCCGAGGACTTTCGTGCGCGAGTCTTCCGGGTCGACCCCGAGGCCCCTGAAGTAGGCATCGACCCCTGGCGCCGCTTCTTGGTGATAATTGTACTCTAGTCTCCCCGTCAGTGGTTATGTAGGCAGTTAGTATACCCTGCAATCAACCTACCATGTTTGACACCAATGTGCTCATGATGCTCCCCAACCTGGACATTCTGATTGGTCACTGGTAGTCCTGTCAGCTCCTCATCTACATGCGCCTCCTTTTAGAAGGACGTACCGTGTTTACAGGAGGTGGATTCGTGATGTTCCCCGATCTGGATTCCCTCATTCCGCTCCGTGTACACGGTTGCCCGTGGCCTAGCGACAGAGCCCATGCTGTCTCACATTGGAAGTAGTAGTTTGGGATGGAAAAGACCCACTACGAACTGAAGGGTTCTTTGTAGTCTTATACTTAATCCACTTGGCCCTCGGTGACCCCGCACTTGCATGAGCTGAAATCTCACAACCGCCGAAAACAGCCTTTCTATTCGCTGGAAATTGCTATTCGAGGCCTGCTGTGTGGCTGAGGCCCGATTTACGATATTGGGCGCCAAGAATATCCTCTCCCAGGCATAGCGCAGCCCATTCGCAACAAAAAGATCATAAATAAGTACCTCATGAGGTCCGATCCAAATAACCACCCCCGTGCCTCCTCAACACACCCTGAATATTCTCTTACTATCCACACCATGGATCCCCTTAGCGCCGCCTCGAACATTACCTCCTTGATCTCCTCTATCCTGCAGGGTGTCGGGTACATCCAGCTAGCCCGGAACTTTGATGACGACCTCAAGGTCCACCAGATCCGCCTCGACCTCATCCGCCTCCGGTTGTCGCGATGGGGTCTAGCCGTAGGTCTCTTCCACACCGAGAGCGAGGGCGAAGACCCAGAGGGGCATAAAAAAGCAGCCCTCGGCGACAACGCCGAACAGATCGAAGATATCCTCTCAGAAATTAAGAATGCCCTGGATAAGGCCAAAAGGGCGTCCGAGAAAATGGAGCCAAAGGCTGCCGAGGGCGAGGGCCCCGATGATGACGACGACGAGGACGGCGACATTTCCCCGCCCCGCTTCAAACGCCTCCAGCTCAAGATCCGTCAGATCGTCACTAAGAGGCTTCACCGCGTCGGCGACCACTGGAAGGGCGCCAAGTGGATCGTCTACAAGAAGGAGCAGTGCGAGGCCCTCACGACGAAGATTATCGAGCTCATCAATCAACTCGAGGAGATCGCGAAGGCCGGCGATAAACTGGAAGAGCTGAGCAGGGAGGAGTGCGATGGAATGGGGGATAGTCTGAAGACCCTACTCGAGGTTGCCGGGAAGGTTGATCCCCTGCTCGTGACTTCTGCGACGCAGAAGGTCGAGGGGGAGGCGGCGGCGAAGGGGGTGTCGGTGTCTGCCGGAGTTAATAATGGGGTGCAGATGGGGGTGAACTATGGGTCTTTCAAGGGGATTAGTTTTGGGACCGGAAATAGCATAACTAACCAGTTCGGGTAAGAGAAGGGAAGGGCGGCTATCGATGAATTCTTATTATTAGTTCGGGTTCTGAAGCAATCAGGCAGGCTTGCCCCTAACCCACAGCGACATCCCAGTTGTGATGCTACCTGCCCATCGTAACTAACCCCAGTCATGAGGTGCTCCTGGAGATTCCCCCCAACCCCAGGGAGATGATGAGTCTCATTACAACACTATCACTACCTACCAAGACCTTCTCGACATCTCGGATCTCTGTGAGATGCAATTTTGTGATGAAACAAGTAGATCTGAACTTCATCTATTTGGTGGATGGGCACAGTAGATTTATTAATTGAATCTGGAAAACCCGGCTCGTCTGCTGTTAGTCCCAGCTCCTTCAGTCTCTCCGCTCTCCTCTCCAAGTACAATGCATATGGCGGCTTGGGTATCTTCTTCTCCGCGTCCTCCCAAATTTCATACCCGGTCTCATGCCATACAACTAACTGCTCCTTGAAGTTGCTATTCGGCTTGACCTTTCGCTTCGCCCGAACGAAGGCCAACGTATCGTCGAAGCTCCACCGGTGAGTCCGCATCAGGTAAGCAATCAGTGCCGTAGCGGATCGTGATATGCCCTTTTCGCAATGGATGAGGACGCCGGGTATTTTGGGGACGGGTTCGGGTGATTCAGGTGCAGCCACCGGGACCTCGGATCCGGGAGCGGAGGTTTCAGGCGTTGGAGAAGGATCAGTAATGAGGCTGGCAGGATCACTAACGCTAGGACTGCGGTATCGGAGACGGTCAATGAAGTCACAGATCTCAGCTAGGTAAGGGAGCAAGTCCTGGGTGCTGCTATCGTTGCAGGCTATAAATAAGTGCCGCTCGACGGGGACCATCGCCCTAATGCTCTTCAGGCTCCAGAGGGCGAGAGGACATGGAAGGAGTGAAACCCGGACGGCGATGTTGTTTGCCTGGAGGATATTACCCCTGAGGGGGCTTTCTTTTTTCCCGATATAGAGTCCATCCTCAATCTTGGTGACTGGTGGGAGTCGGCTGGGTCTGGGCGGGGACCTTTGGTTCGTATGCGAGACCATAGGGAAATGTGGAGAAAGGGGACTAGCAGGGAAGAATCAGTGTCCTGATGAGTTACTTGTAACTATCACTGTTTGCTAAGGGCATACATTAGATGCCTCTCTCCAAAGTGGACAGGGCCACGTATTGTAATGCTCCCTCGCAGGCGTCGGTATGCTCCTCGTCGAGGCCAGGTTACTGTTAACAGGCTCAGGGAAAAGGCTATGGGGGATGTCCAACGACATATTTTATCTAAAAATACTTTGTACAGCTCGAACATTACTCAGCATGCATTCCAGCAAGTCGGACGAATGTCAATGATACAGCTATGCAGACCGACGTTCATTGGTGAGATTTTCTGGCGAGAGGTCACAAGGACCCTTGCCCATGTCTAACCACTAATAAATGTCGCGTTATCAGAGCGCTCAGTTTACCGTTAACTGCAAATGGATGTAACTGTCGTGTGTGATTGATACTCTCTTCTTTATCTAGTTCATGATTATACCGGAAATCGAGGGCGGTAACCACGACTCCTCATTATTAGGTAAACAAAGACAGGACTTGCATGGTACCTGGTAGTTGGGAGGGGCGAAAAGACCTCTTGGCAGAGGATTATGAAGTGGCATAGAAGATGAAGTATAATACTCTAGTATCTGCCCGGGACTGGCTGTCTATCTACTCGTGTGTTAGATGCTTGTCTTCGACAGCCCTAGCCCAGCTGTACACAACTCGGGATCATTACGAGTGGGCCAGCGGCTATGACCCCAGTCGAACCGCGCGCTAAGACACAAAACCATAAGCCAAAAAACATACAACACCAGGGATTCGCTGGTCGTCACCGACCCAACTACTAGTCTAGCGCTTCGTGGTTTATGTATAGGGGAGCGGACGGGACCCTCAGTTTTCCACGAGCTATGGTCGTATGTACTGTTCAGTAGTCTGGGTTGGGTAGACCAAGGCTGTACCAAACATTGAGTGACCAAGAGAGGCATATCAAAATAGGATAAGTAGCAATAAGACAGGCTAAGGAGCAAGCCTAATAGGTGTTAGTGCCACAAGGCTAGGCTATGATGGAAGGGGGAGGGGGCTGGGGGGCTGGGGTTTAAAAGCTCAGGACGGAGATTGGAGGACGAAGGCTTGAAGTTCTTGGGATTGATAGGGAGGAGAGGGTAGGGAGTTCATGGACTGTGTGTAGAAGCGGCCAATAATTACATAAACTATACGCTATACCATAAAAGGAAGTGCCGCATTACCAGAGGCAGATTTCCTGTCACCAACATTACGAAGGAGGGATTACCAAGGGAGTAGAGTAGACCAAGGACGTCTCGGGCGATGCCTTGCCGATCAGGTCCGGATCGGGAAGGAGCCACTGACAGTTTGATAGTGGTGCCGCCCCGGAGAATCCGATCTTACGAGATTCAGAGGAAGATAAACTTCTTCCTCGTCTCGGTCGGTCTGATCATCAGAGGTGGGAAGGTAACTGGGTGGCATATGGCTCGCAGCCCCTAACATAAATTGGGAACTCTCAGGTAGGGCGTTGGTTTAAGGTTGTAATTGTCAGATCGACCAATAAACCTTTGTATCCTAATTGGTGTACAGCTCCCTTGAAAGCCTAAAGATGATTAATGGTGCGATTTTGGTGGGCTTTCCAACCTTAAAATCACCATCAACCCAACGCCCTCGAGTTCGGATTGAGACTGCACGTTCCCACCACGGCCTTCCTTCTCCTCAATACAAAAAGACGGCTGATTTCTTACTCACTTCCCAAACCGAAAAGGGTTCTCTTCTTGGAAGTAAAGAAGAGAGATAATATGCTGAAGGTCCAACCCAGATTCGAACTGAGGCTTCGGGCAGCTTCTATTATCCAAATTATTTACATAATAGGTATAATCAGAAACCCACGTCCTAACCAACTAGACTATTGGACCGTATGTGAATGGAAATCGCTATGCCCATAGGATCCCCATAATCTCGGTGACTGCCTATTCCAAAGGTATGTGCATATTACTTTCAAGTGTCCGGGGAGGATGATATGATAGTGCCCGAGCCTCTACGAGAACCATGAGAGGTATTCTCCTTATACTTATACCGTACCTGCATCTAGATATGATAAGTACTTCGTAGGATGGGACAGGATACTATAACCGGGCGCTGTCTGTAGATCTCAATCCAAGCGAACGTGGATAATGAGCATGACACGTGGGAGAAGCTTCCCGATCCAACCAGGTTTGCACGGCCCTCCTGCCTGCCAAGCTTTGATGTGCAAACACGCCCTTGCACTTTAAAATCACAAGGTAGCAATCCACACGTCAGATATCTTCGATCTCTCCACACGCAATCCAGTTTTTCCGGTATGACCAGTCCTCTCAACCAAAACTTATCCGACTGTTAATATGACGCGTGGTCTACCTACATGCAGAGAAGCTAGGCCAGCACTGCCCCGGCTTGGCAGTGGACTGACTCCCTTTGTAAGTGCTTAGAACCTATTGTATCATGGTCTTGTCCTACGATTCTCTACTGACAAATGTGACCCTGTCATGTACGCAGCGGGTCTGGGGCGATCAAGATTTAAGTGTGATGTAGACATTGGAAATTCTGCAACGTCCCGACGGGACGGACGGAGGACGATAACCCGAGTTCTATCGCCGAGAAGTGTTCATTTCCGTCCCTCGGTCCAACGACTGTTACTTATACTGCAATTGGCAATGATATGCTAAGCCATTAGGTCATCTTTAATATACATGCATCGCATCCGTACCACCCGAAGAGTGGGTGGTACCCGCCAAGCCGTCGTTTTCGGTTAATCAGATCTGACTCTCGAATTATCTGATTGCTGTACTGCCGGACCGAACGGCTCTTCCCCGTGGGTATTCGGACACGGCGCGAAGATTCTCGCCGTTAGCGTTAATCTAGTGGCGGAGTACCGACGGGGTTGGTGGATTTGACCCAATTGTCCCAAGGACTCGTACGGCGAGTTCGCCGAATATGTGGAACGGGATGATGAAGTACCACAGCGGGTCCCGGACATGAACCTGGATACGGAGGGTATCCCGAGAACGACACCCTCACAGTACCTGCAGCTACCTTAATTTAAAAATGGTGTAAGCAGGGTCGCTTTAGCCATCCTTGCCGTGATATATTAAGGTTGCCATCGCCCGAATGCTCCTACTTGGTTAATGAAAACCGTCTAACTTTAACAGTTCAAGTTGGCCGGCGTCCTCCTAAAAATATCCGAGTCACCATGCGCTTCGCCCCGATTGTCCCGGCCACGATGGCCATGGGCGCCCTTGCCGCCCGGCCATTCCTTACCTCGCCTGACACTGGGATCGACGACGTTCTCGGCGACACCCCCGAGGGCACTCTCCCCGATCTCGCGGATATCATCGGACTTCACGACTTCGAGTGGGCCGCCCGTAGATATCTTCCTCTGGAGAACTACACCTATTATGCCAACGGTGCCGCCGGCGAATGGTCGCTTCGCAACAATCTGGAGGTATTCTACCGGTATAATTGGAGGCCGAGGCAGATGACGGATATTACTGGCCTGCCGAACACTTTGAAGTGAGTCGGACAACTTTTAGCAAAACCATGGCCGAAAGCGCTGTAGTCTCTCGTGTATTACGGACTGTAGCACGAAGAGTACCCCTTGGTTGAGGGTTCATGGTGAAAGTGAGCGAGAGATCTAACTTTGATGGCCATAGTACCACCATCTTGGGGTTCAACTTCTCTGCCCCTTTCTACATCTCTCCTTGTGCACGCGGAGTATCTGCTCATAAGGAAGGCGAGATCAACCTGGTCAAGGGTGCGGCCGCCGGGAATATTCTCTATATCCCATCGGGGTACTCGAGCTACACTTTCCAGGAGATACAGGCTGCCAAGGCGGAGGGGCAAGTTGTGTTCCAGCAGGTACGTATCTCTCGGGTGGGCTAGAGAGTCGTACGAATTGTACTGAATCTTGAACTGGCTGGTTTTCCGAACTAACGTCTACGAAAGATGTACCTTACCGGCAACATCACCCAAGACACCGAGTACATTCGCAACCTTGAGAAAGCCGGCACTGATGCCCTAGTCCTGACGATAGACTCAGTCGCCGGCAGCAACCGCCAACGTGCCCAGCGCTTTGGTGTTGGTTCCGCTAACACGCAGTTCGTTCGCCTGACGTGGGAGTACTACGACCAGCTCCGCGAGATCACCAAGCTCTCAATCGCCGTCAAAGGTGTCACCTCCGTCGACACAGCAAAGAAAGCCGTCGAACACAACGTCCCTGCCATCGTCATTTCCAATCACGGCGGACGAAACCTTGATGGCAGCCCCTCGGCCCTCGAGATCCTGCTCGATATCCACGCTGAGGCGCCCGAGCTACTGGACCAGATTGAGATATGGGCGGACGGCGGCGTCCGGTATGGCGGGGATGTTCTGAAGCTGCTTGCGCTGGGGGCCAGGGCTGTTGGTATCGGGAGGCCGTATATGTACGCTAATGCCTATGGCGTTGAGGGCATCGAGAAGGTGACGAAGATCTTGAAGCAGGAGTTGATCACCGATGGTGGCAACATCGGCTTAGAGAGGCTTGGGGATGTTGACAAGACTTACGTGAGTTTTCCCACCACCTTTTATGCGCGCTGAGAGCGTATTATTTTGCTGACAGTGTGTGGCAGGTCAATTGGACTCCCAACCAGTGGCTGGCTTAGACGTTGGTGTTTATTCATTACAGATACGAACGAAATGAAATGCTATGTCCATCATACCACCCAGTAGAACCTCCCAGGACATTTTTCACCTGGAGAGGAGTAGCTCAAATCAGGCTGAACCGCTAATCTGTGCTTTTCCCGTGAATTAAGCCTCCACATTCACCGAGCGTGGACACTGGGTTCGTTGCGGTCAGATGCCATCACTCTGGAGTGTTTATTGCAGCCGCAGCCACCCCGATATGATCATCGATACCGCTTCTACCGGTACGTAAGTTGACTTTCCCTGGTTTCTGCGGCACTGTTCTCCTTAATTGCCACCACTGCAGACTCCTCGGTATGAACGGAGGGCTTATCAACCAGGACGGGATGATGTGTATTACGTTTTTTTGGAGTCGATCGAACTCCAAGTTATACCTGTGATCGGGGATTTATCTCTATAGTACGGGGTTTACTGGCAGCATGGTTCACAAGCACCTATTCATAGTCACGGAGCATCTGACTACTGGGTTGATAGGCTGATGCGGTCTATCATCTCATTGCTCTATCTTCCCTAGCACGACACGTGCCTCTTAATCCCTTCCCGCTATCATCTAGCGACACTTAGCCTTTCCGCAACCACCTTCACTTGACCTTATCAATCGGTCGGATTGGCATTACAAATACCAGGGCTAAGATTATACGCCGATGACTGCCAAGTTCTCATACTATAAAATAATGGTCTAAACCACTTGTTTCTCCGCGGTCGGACAATGCTTGGGTAATCAGTCCTGGAGGTCTTCCAAAAGTCCCCCACCCCCATTGTGGGAAAGGTGTTAACTAGGCCGCTTTGGGCAATATAATTTCGCCAGGCGTTTATATCGGGATCGGCCCGGGAGAGAGTAGCAAACCAAGATATCCTAAATTGTACTTTATATTTCGCTAAGATTGAGTGCCATCTGCCTCATTGCGGCGAGGTAAGAACCTAGAATAATAATCGTCTCATACGACAGATCAGGTGAATACAGGACCCTGGCATGGCGGTGTCCCTATATAGAAATTATGGCAGCTAATGCTGTTTCTTATAAAACCAGACAGATGAGAAACATCATAAAACCATATTAAAGATTGAAGTGGAAAGAATCATGTCTACTAGCCATAATATCTACAATATTACAAGAGTTTGCCTCCCTACATTCTATAACTAGTACAGCAGGCAGGAGCAGTAAGGCCTAACTGAGGCTAAGCACTGCGCAAAGAATGAGAGCAAAAATGTAGGAGGGGACAGAATGTGTAGACTAGATAGAAGCACGAAGTGCAGCCACCGCCTGGTGCTCCGGAAGGAGCGTGGGCCCCGGGCGATCCGGGCGAGCCCCCAACAGCGTAAAATGATAACTCACATCCATACACGAGGAGGAAGAGCGAAACGGAGGCAAGATGAGTACACGGCAGCTCTGAAGTCCTCCATACTCCGCTCGCCCGTGGGGGCTTAACCTTGTCGTCAAGCCGATTAGCCGTCCCAGTCTTGATATTATCTAAACGAAAAAGCATTATGTGCTGTCAACCCTAAATTGCATCCAGTGGTTTGTTAGTGAGGGCGTGAGGGCACCGTGCATCGCTCCCCGCGTGCCGTCAAGCAAGAGTAAAGCGCCATGAACCAACGATTGGTATAGAAGGCAGGCCGAGCGATCTTTTGGAGATTGATGCTGTTTGGAGTATTGGATGGCGGGGGCGGGAGGGATACTTAATATATAACTAAGCCTCATTTCTACTTGTGACTGGTGCGAAAATCAGCACAAATATCAAGTTAGAATTGATTCTACCAGAAACGAGGCACCCTCTCTACGTCAGAAGACCAAGCTCCCGTAACTTATTCACGATCATTAATCTTCAACCTCTACGAATACAGGCTGTTTATGATCGGTCTTGTTCACACTCGAGTCATCTGAAATATTTAAGCACGACTAGGAGCCACCTTCGAGTTTAACTTTGAAAATGTACCATCAGCACCTTCAGATCATCCCAGCCTACCAAGTCTCTCTATTCCAGCTCAACTAAGCTTATACCTCCTGATTACCATACTCCCTCACCATGCATATCTCTGCTGTTGGATCCCTTGGACTTCTCGCCCTTAGCGCTAAGGGCGTTGTTGCAGCCCCCCCGAATGGGTATTCCGCCTTCTTCAGCACCTTCAACCATCCTGGTTGCGATATTCAGAGCCTAGGAATGACTACCGTTGAGGCGACTAAGGTTGGAGATTGTGT